AGTGAGTCGAGATTGTGCAGCTGCACTCCAGCCTGGGTGACAGAGCGAGATTCTGTCTCAAAAAAAAAAAAAAATTCTTGTCCTTATCTTGTCTCCACTCAGTCTCTGATAGGCTGCGTTGTGTTTAAATCTCCTACTCGCTGTCTCTGTCCATTTATCACTGTGTGTCTCATGTTTTTGTTGTACGTATTTTGTTGCGATGTGTTCTGGGTTGAATTGCATCCCTGCCAAATTAAGGTCCTCACCCTTGGTATTTCAGAATGTGACTGTATTTGGAAGTAGGGTCTTCACAGAGGTAATTAAGTTAAAAGGACCTTAATACAAGATGACTGGTGTATTTAGAAAAAGGGCAAGTTTGGAGTCAGACACTCATACAGAAAGAACATCACTGAACGTGAAGATACATTTTATTTTATTTCATTTTTTGAGACAGGGTCTCGCTCTGTCGCCCAGGCCAGAGTGCAGTGACATGATCTTGGCTCACTGCAACCTCTGCCTCCCAGGCTCAAGTGATCCTCCCACCTCAGCTTCCCAAGTAGCTGGGACTACTGGCATGTGTCACTATGTCCAGCTAATTTTTATATTTTTGTAGAGACGGGGGGTTTTGCCATGTTGCCCAGGCTAGTCTTGGACTCCTGGGCTCAAGGCATCTTCCTGCCTTGACCTCCCAAAGTGCTGGGATTATAGGTGTGAGCCACTGTGCCCGGCCATGAAGACATATTTTTTAAAGATAGAGTGAGGAGACATAAGAGGGCCACCTAAAAGCCAAGGAGAGAGAACTGGAACAGATTCTTCCCTCACCGTCCTCAGAAGAACAACCCTGCTGACATCTTGATTTTGAACTTGCAGGCTCCAGAAGCGTAAAAGAATAAATTTCTGTTGTTTGAAGCTACCAGTTTGTGGTACTTCATTGTGGCAGCCCTAGCAAAAAAGCATTATACTATTCTGCAGTAGTTTTAATACTCTATCTTCACTATCAGTTAATACAATGACCCCCAATTCCTTTCTTTAAGATTGCCTTTAACTATGACATTGCACCTCTGCTGGATTTTCCCATTTGATTGGCAGTCTTTTGTCCAGTCTTTTGATTATGATCATGAGCCCCCCATTGTTATGCACCCAGGCATTTGTTGTATGCATGTATGTGGCGCATTGATCAGCAATTGCCTGTATGAACTCTGGAGTCAGAATTGGTGGCTGCCACTTAGTTGCTATATGACGTTGGGCAAGTACATTAATCTTTCTGTGCCTGTCTTCCCTTCTGTAAGGTGAGGAAATAGTAATTATTCCTGTATCATAAGATTGTCTTGAGGGTTATTAAGAAACTAGCGTAACTGGATTGTTGAGGTTAGGTTGCCAGAAAGCAGACTACGAGATGGAGATTTAATGTGCAGGAAGTTTACTGGGGAGGTGCTCTCAGGATCAAGAGGTGCACAGGGTTTGGGCGTAGGAAGCTGGATTCAATGCGGAGTGTAGTGGTTTAAAATACGTCCTCAAATTCTTTGACCCTGCCTTCCAAAGGTAGAGCTAAATTCCAAGTGTAGGTTGGATTTAGTGACTGTCTTCTAATGGAGAGAAGAAAAGTAGATGTGCTTCAGATACTTGGCCACATAGGGCATTGCAGCTCCCTATTTGCACTCTCTCTTGATTGACTGGTCTGGGAGAAGCTAGCTGCCATATTGTGAGGCTTCTCAAGCAACCTGCGGAGTGGAAGTGAGTGCTCCCAACCTCAGTCACGTGAGGGAGCCATCTTGGAAGTGGATATTCCAGCCCACAACAGGTCTTCAGAGGACTGCAAGAACCTGACACCTTGAGCCAGAAACACCCAGGGAAGCTTCTCCTGAGTTCCCAACTCGCAGACATGAGACGTTTGTTATTTAAAACTACTACAGATTGGGCTAATTTGCTACACATCAGTATTTAACTAATACTAGGAGTTTTGGATATGGAATGGTCCTTCAGAGTTGTCCTAAACTGGGACAAGGGAGAGGCCTGTATATCCTAAATGGATTAATCGTCAGGTGTGGACTGCCCCCAAGAAGGGGGAATGACCTTAGGCAAGGCAGTTTTCTTCATTAAAGGAAAGCTTTGAAGAGTGACTTAGCTGAGCGCTGTTGAGATAAATACTCCTAGCAGCTCAGGGAACATGTCCTTCAGTCTTGAAGGAAGGGTCTGGGCAGAGAATCTTAGCACCCACTTAAGGATGTTTAGTGGGACCTCTGCTGTTGTCCTAGAATTGGCACTAGGCTCACAATGGAAAACTACAGGCATAGCACTCCATCTCCTAATGAAAGATGCCTATAATTAGGGCCACTTCCCCCAGGGCTTAAGAAAAAGCTGCAGATCTGGCCCCCTCTTCCACCAAATACTTCCCCAGTCCTCTCCTCAATCTATACAGGAAGGCAGGGGAAGGAATGAAAGGAGACAGTATCATGGAGGACAGTGTTTCTGGTGCAAAGTGATGTAGCTGGGAAGGACATAGGACAATCTCTCCTAGGTATCAGGGGGCCTACTGGAAGGGGAGTCTGGTATTCTATTTGCCTGCAGATCTGTTCCTCCAGCACTCTTTCTGATTTATCCCTGTCTGTATTGCAAGAGGGAACAAGAAAATTGAAGAGGGATAGCAGGGGAGAGAGGAGCAGCCATGGGGTGGTCTTCAGTCCAGCCCTTTTTTGTGGCAAAGATGTGTATTTCTCCTGGGTCAAATCCTTCCTGTGCCGAAGACAAATGGTCCTGAGCGATCTTGCCTGAGAGTCTGAGTGTACTGCTGGGTGCTGCCAGGGGCGTGATGGAAAAGATCAAGGTGGGGACAGATCTCCCATGGAACTGTGTGGCAGAGAGAAGGCTCCACCCGACCTCCCCATGTGTACCCCGCCAAAGGAATTTTAAACGAGACAGTTACCCAGAGAAGCAGGAATCAACTAAGAAAATTCAGCAGTGGCCAGTTAAGACATATTTGTCTCATTTTCTCTCCTCTTCCTTATCTCAACACAGAAGCCAGGACTTGCAGAAAACTATGCTTTGCACCTTCCCACTCACACTAAGGGATTTAGGGTCCCGCTAGAGACATGAAATCGACACTTTAACAAGGTCTGATTTTTGGAAACTCAAATGGACCAGAAAGTTAAGGTATCACCTAAAGTGTGAGGGATGGAAAAGATTTAAAAGGATAGCGATTGGAGGCTGGGCGCGGTGGCTCACCCCTGTAATCCCAGCACTTTAGGAGGCCCAGACAGGCGGATCACGAGGTCAGGAGTTCGAGACCAGCCTGGCCAACATGGTGAAACCCCATCTCTACTAATACACAAATAAGCTGGGAGTGGTGGCGCGTGCCTGTAATCCCAGCTGCTCGGGAGGCTGAGGCAGGAGAATCGCTTGAACCCGGGAGGCGGAGGTTGCAGTGAGCTGAGATAGCGCCACTGCACTCCAGCCCGGGCGACAGAGCGAGACTCCGTCTCAAAAACAAAACAAAACAAACAAGTATACAATGTGGATACATGTGTTTCTTTTTGTTTCTCTGCAGTGTCTACTGAGATTGATTTTTTACCATTTGAAAATGATGGGTGAGTCTAGTGGAAAGGGATCCACTTCTTGAATTCTAATAGACTAGACTGTGATTTTCAAGTCCCTAATGAATTGTTCTAAAATCGCTGAGTTTGAGTTGCCAGGAAAACATTCAAGGCAGAGACCAAAGCCCTGACGGCAGAGATGAGCTGCAAACCAAGACCTGAATATTTGAAAATACCATTTATTAACCTTCAAAAGCAGTTGTAGCTGCAGTACCAACACTGCTGGCCTGTAAAACATTTTATATTCTCAAGAGGGAGGCATTCATGATACTAATTCTTGCAATCGTTTTACAGATAATTTCTGATGTCATCCCAAAACTAATGCACTTTTAAAAACAATTATCGGAATCAAATAAACAAAAAGCAAAGAATTTAAACAAAAAACACTTTTCGCCGCATTAAATCACTTGCCAAAATGAAATCTGACCTTCTGCTTACTGGCAAAATCCTCATTTATAACATTTACAAGAGATTTTAACTCAGTAAACGAAGTATGTTAACCGTGCACTGCCCTGCCCTGCAGTAACGCCACCCACCCCCGCAAACTGTATCTGGGGTCAGCTGTTGCTGGGAATAAGAATAGGCAGATTCACTTCAGCTTCCAGTCTTTCATTTGCAATCAACCTCCAAGCGCCAGAGCCTGCCGGCCGTGCCTTTCCACCCTTTAGCGCGGGGCGCACGGATCTGAATATTTAATACCCGGTTCCAGGACACGCGCCTGGGGAACACCCACAATCCCTCGCGGCCCGAGGAGCCCGGCCGGCGGGTGACCCAACGCCGCGGCTCCGAGCGGAGCGAGGTCACCTGGCGCTTCCCGAGACCTTGGCCCTAGGCCCGGCTGGCGCTGGGACGCTGGGAAGCCGAGCCGCCAGCCGATCAGCGCTTTGCAGGACGAGCGCGCAGGGGCTGCACCCCTGAGGGTGACCGGAACCGTTCCCGTGGGAAGGGCAGGGAATGGCGCCTGGCCACGGACAGACAAGGGGGCGCCGGCTCTTCAGAACCCCAGGGAGAAAGCGGTAGAGGGCTACAGTTGAGGACATTAAGGACATTTGAGGAGGGCAGGCATTCCCAAGTTATAACCTCCAGAAAGACAACTCCATAGTGCTACCCCTCTGCGCCGCACAGCCTGACGGGAGCATCATGCTTCCTGCGCAGGCTGCGTCCGACAGACGGCTTCGGTCCCGCCCCCGGCCGCGGGGCACGCCGGGAGAGCCGAGAGTTCTTCCCTCCCTCCCCTAACCCAGAAAGAAAAGGAGCATTTCCGGCGTAAGACTATCCCGAGTCGGGCTAGTTTGGTCCCGCCTTTCACGCTCGGAGTGGGCGGGGTGAAGGGTGACAGCTCTTCTCCCCGCACTAAGGCCTGCTCCTGTGCCGGAAGGAGGAAGGCGTGGAGCGTTCGCCTCTCGGAGCTAGGAAGTGTGTGCGACGTAGGTGCGAGGTCATGTGAGCTGCTGCCGGCTGAGAGGGAAAGGGGCGGGGCCCAGAACGAAGGGGCGAGGCGCCCCTTGTTTCCCTGGGGTCACGCGCAGCGGGAAGTGGCGGCTGCTGTGGAGAATTGGAGATGGGAACGGCCCTGGACATCAAGATTAAAAGAGCGAATAAAGTTTATCACGCCGGGGTAAGTGGGGGCTTGGGGTGGAGATGGGGTTGGGCGGGTCTGCAGGTTCCGCTGTCTCCATCGCCCTGCACACGTCCCGCGTCCCTAGGCGGGGCAGGGCTGTCCCACCAGGTGCGTCTCCGCCAGGTGGGTGCGTTCCCGCCAGGTGCGTCCCCGCCAGGTGCTTCCCGCGCGAGCCTGGCCTGCCCTGCGAGGGGCCCCGCGAGAGGCGCCGCCGCAGCATCTGCGGGACGTGCAGGGCAGGCGCCCGGCTCCGGGGCTGCAGCTCTTCCCATCTGGCCCCTTGAACACCCGGCGGTGGGCATTGGGCCTTCAGGCTTGAGCTCCCGCAGTGAGCGCTGAGGGCAGAGGAGTTGACGACCAGACTCCCCTTTCCCTCTCTCCTAAGGTGCCCGCAAAGGTCCAATGAACGAAAGCTAAAACTAACCTTGGAAGCAGTAATGGGTATGTCTGGCGGCAGCATATATTAAGTGACAGTCACTTTTAACAACATACTACGAAAGTTACTCCTTTTTCTGGTTTTATTCTTCGACTGAGATAAAAGATTGACTATTAAAATGCAAGCATAAAAAAATAAAATCTTGACTCTGCCATTAACAGGTTTTGTGACATTGGCCAGTCATTTAATCTCCTTGGGCCTCAGTGTCCTTATTTGCAAATGAGGGTGTTGTAAGGTTCCTCTGACTCGGGGAATCTCAACCCTTACTCGACATCAGAATCAGTCACCCTGAGGAATTTTAAAATATGGTTGCTCGGGTTCCACTCTCGGCGATACCGATGATACATGTGCAGCTAGGGTTGAAATCACAGCCCCAACACTCTTCGGAATAAAATTGATAGCAGTGGTTGGGCATATTAATGCAAAGTAATCTCACAAGGGACAGAGTACCAGACAAAGGTCTTGGATGGATGCTGAAACTTTTGGGCAAAAGAACTGGGGAAGCCTGGTATTTACACAAGCTCAAATGGTCATCCCTTTGATGGTTAATTACAAAGGGAAAAAACTGGCCTGGCGTGGTGGCTCACACCTGTAATCCCAGCACTTTGGGAGGCCGAGGTGGGCAGATCACCTGAGATCAGGAGTTCGAAACCAGCCTGGCCAACATGGTGAAACCCTGTCTTTACTAAAAATACAAAAATTAGCCGGGCGTGGTGGCAGACGCCTGTAATCCCAGCTACCCCGGCAACTGAGGCAGAAAAATCGCTGGAACCCGGCAGGCAGAGGCTGCAGTGAGCCGAGATTGCACCACTGCACTCCAGCCTGGGCCACAGAGTAAGACCCCCTCTGAAAAAATCAAAAGGGAAAAAGCTACCTTTATAATGGAGAAATCTGGTAGTCACACTCTAGCCAAGCACAACAATGAACACCACTTTACCATCACAACTAATGAGACGACTGACATTCGGTACCCCTTGGCATGATGCACCAAAAAGGTCACAACTGAGCTATGTAGTATTCCCGCCAAAAATGTTTAATCCATGTCAGTTCATAAGGAAACAATCAGGCATATCCAAATTGAGGGACATTCTGTGAAACAAGTAGCGTGGTTTTTTCAGAAATATCAATGTCAAAAAATAAAGGCGAGATAATTTTTCTAGACTAAAAGACTAAAGGGACATGAGAACCAAATAGAATGCTTAATTTCTGATAAAATATAAATCCGAATATGGACTATAATTGTTGTGTATTGGTGTTGAATTTCTCCAGCGTAATATTTTGGTTATATAGGAGAATACTTCACATGCTGAAGTGTTTAGGGTCAAAGTGTCCAGCCATAGACTGTGCACATATGTTTATGCACATGTGTGTATAGGAGAGAAAGTGAATCTGGCAAAATACTAACAATTGCTGAATGAGGTTAAAAGCTACATGAGTCTGTATTCTTTTTAAAAAATAACAGCTTTGTAGAGATAATTTAAAATACAAAATGTACCCTTTGAAAGTATACAATTCAGTAGTTTTTTAGTGTATTTGCAGAGTTGCGCATCCATCACCACGACCTAATTCTAGAACATTTTCACCCCAAAAAGAAACCCTGAACCCATTAGCTGTCACTCCTCATTCCCTCTCCCTCCTGACCCCTGGCAGTGACAAATCGACTTTGTCTCTGGAGTTGCCTGTTCTTGACATTTCATATAAATGGAATCGTACAGTTTGTGACCCTTTTGACTGACAGGCTTCTTTTACTTCAAGTAATGTTCGGTGTTCATGCTTGTCATAGCATGTGTCAGTTCCTTATTCCTTTTTATGGTTGAATAATATTCCATTGTATGGATAGATCATATTTTGTTTAACCACTCATCTCTTGATGGACATTGGAGTTATTTCTACCTTTTTGCTATTAATAATGTTATGAACATTGTAGTACAAGTTTTTATGTGAGAGGATATTTTTATTTCTCTTGGGTGTATACCTAGGAGTGGATTTTGCTGAGCTACTTTAACTTTTTGAAGAGCTGCCAAATTATTTTCCAAAGTATCTTGTACCACTTCACAGTCTACCGGCACTGTATGACGGTTCAAATTTTTCCACTACTTTATAGTTTCATAACTTTTCTGGAGCTTGGAAATGTTTCAAAATAACAATGGGAGGGCAATGACAGGAGACTCTATGCATTTAACTTTAGTATTCATTATTTCATTAACAAGTTAGCACATTCTTTTCAGAAATGTTACTCCAGCTGGGATGCTGAGATATCTTCTGTGGTTTTAAATATGATACAAGTAATGAAAAGTATATTAGAAAAGAGGCAAGCAGTGGAATGATAAAGTTGCCCCAGCAGAAGTCATCCACAGCCAGGACCACTTCCTGCGGGTCGCAGAGTTGAAGACTGAGTCAGCTCTGTCCCTCTAGACTACATGTCCTGATGCTAGTATCAGGAACAGAATCTGCAATTGATGGCTGAAGGCAGCTTCTCTCAACCTTCAGTCACTTTTTACACTTACATGCATTTTAAAGGAAACATTATATGGTGAATATAAAAGAAAAACATTGCTATATTTTTTTAAAAGGCAACAGAAAAGAGAAAGTTATTAAACTAATTAATCAATTGACAAAAATCTCTGACATGAGTGCCCATGATTCATGTGCTAGACTCCATGATCTGTGACTCAGGGTAGGTGGAGTAGGCAGCCAGCACTGTCATGGCTGCTTTCCAAGCCCCACGTAGCAGGACCCTTGCGGTCTGGTCCTCCAGGAGGCCTCATTGACCGCAGGCAGTGCATATGTCACTTCTAGTTTGCACTGTGGTTGTGGGAGAAGCGGCCCTTCTCTCCTACCCTCCTCACCCTTAGCTGGCTGCAATGGAGCTGATAGCATACACATTTTCTCTTTTCTCCGTACATCTCAACAGTGACAGTAAAGATTCAGTTACCAAAGATTTGACTTACCTATGGGCCTGCCAGAGCACCATGCCTACAATTCTGGGTTGCTTGAGGTGGCTGCCACCTACTTTAGCCTGATTCTAAGCAGTACTATCCCAGGCTTGAGGTCATGAGTGATTGTCTTTCAAGTGAAATGTGTTTGTCAGTGTAAGCACATAAGGCAAGCTTATGTTCCAGCAGAGGTTCTGGGGTAGGGTTTGACAGCCAGGCAGTACCACTCTCATTTTTCTGATGAGGAAATGGAGGCTTAGACAAGTTGAAGAATTTCATAACCCAACTAGACAACACCCGACTAATGACCGAGTCTGGATTCCAACTCAGATCAGTTCCAGTTCAAAGCATGTCCATCAAACACTATTATTCTGCTTCCCTAGGAGTGGCTATTTTTATGCAAAATGGAGGAATTTGTAATATAGAAATGTTATTCATTTCTTAGTAGTGCTGTGAATAACATTGAGATATTTCAATAAAAAGAGACTGATACGACTTCTACTTTGAAGATATGCTGATTCTGTTATTGTGCTTTTCGGTATCTTTGTTGTGGAAGCATTTGAAAATGGCTTGATTCTATGGACACCAGAGAAACCTAAGTTATACTTAGATTTAAAATTGACCTTTTTTTTTTAAGAAAAAATATTGACAATGATTTTTAAAAAATTACAGTTGAAGCATTTAAAAAATATAAACGTAATACATGACATGTTAAAAACGTAATATCCCGGCTGGGTGTGGTGGCTCGTGCCTGTAATTGCAGTACTTTGGGAGGCTCAGGTAGGCAGATCACTTGAGCCCAGGAGTTCGAGACCAGCCTGGCCAACATGGCGAAACCCTATCTCTACTAAAAACAGAAAAAGTAGCTGGGTGTGGTGCACGCCTGTAATCCCAGCTACTTGGGAGGCTGAGGTGTGAGAATCACTTGAACCCGGGAGGCGGAGGTTGCAGTAAGCCAAGATCACACCACTGCACTCCAGCCTGGGCAACAGAGCATGACTCTGTCTCAGGAAAAAAAAAAAATAACATGCTGCAGAAGAAGGTAAAATGAAAAGTCAAGTCTCCTACTCTTCCTGACTGCCTGTTCTGCCCTTGGACGTATTCACTGATGATTTGTGTACTGTTCCAGACACACGTGTGCACACACATGCAACTTGTTCTTTTGCTTAATAATGTACCTTTATCTTGGATACTTTTTCATATTAACATTTTCATTAGTCCCATTCTTTTTTATATTATTTAATCAACTTCATTCAACCAATGTCTGTTGATCTCATGAGGGTTACAGGTTAGTAGAGAAAGGCAAATATATAAAATGAGAGATGATTAAAAAGATGATCAAGTGCTCAAATAAGAGCATCTGTGGTGTATGAAGGAGCATAAAGTAGGGTATAGTCATCTAGGGGGAAAAGTGAGAAGCTAGGGGCCCTTCTGGAGCTTCATTGAACCTAGTTTTGAAAACTAAGCATTAGAATCTAGTTTTGAAAAGTAAGCATTAGAATCTAGTTTGAAAATCAAGTATTAAACTAAGTGCCCACCATGCACTGCTGGTCTCAGTCATGAGGAATAGGCAATGTAAACCTAGTGAACAAGAACTTGCAGACGTTTGGGATGCAATCTGAGTC